CTGCCTGCACTGGCCAAGAACAGGGAAAGCCAAGCACCAAAAGCTTTACCCCTGGAAGTAACTGCCAGGCTCTGAAACTTTACCACAAGAAATATCCAGGTCAAAGTGAGGTAGGGCCAAGGACAGTTGGTTTTTTCATGTGTGAAGTTGTTTTGTTAATCCTCACCCGAGGATATTTTTCCATTGATTTTTAGAGAGAGTAGGAGGGAGGGAGACAGAGAGAAACATCGATGTGAGATTCATCTCTTGGCTGCGTCCCACACGCGCCCTGACTGGGCCTGGGGATCGAGTCTGCAACTGAGGTACATGCTCTTGACTGCAATGGAATCCAGGACCCTTCAGTCCATAGGCCAGTGCTCTAGCCACTGAGGCAAATGGGCCAGGGCTCGTGTGTGAAGTTTTTTGACCCAATTTGTAACTCAGAGTGGGTGCTCCGCTCAAAATCAGCTTTGCACCCCTGTCTGTTATGACATAAGTATTCTGTGTCACTCACGATGTTTTTCTCCCCTACACCAGCCGCTCCAGTGTTCCTGTCCCCTTGTTCCCACCTTCATCTGGATTGAGTGAGAACTCCATTCTCTTGAAAGAATTGATCACTGGACAAAACAACCATTGTAGAGTGTGCCCAAGTGCATCTGATTGGCTGTAACTGTTAGAAATGCACTGCTCTGCTTCTCGCCTCCCATTAGAGAGCTGGGCTCTGCGTCCTGGTCCAGGGATGGGTTCCAGGACGCAGGACGGTTTCCAGCCCCCACTTCTTAGTGGTCCTCAGGGGTGGGAGTGGCATCCTGCCTGCACATGGCTATGGTTTTATCATCCTGCACTCATCGCTCTGTTCAGGAAGACAGAGTTTTATTATGCAACAACTGCGACTCTAGGGTAAACTTTGACACAAAGCATTGTGTTCTTGACTGAATCAGCTAAAACAAAAGTCAGGGGGCAGAAAAGAGACCTGGGACATGTTTCAAGTCTTTTAAAAACAGCTACTTTTGGAGAAGCATTCAGATATGCAATTAGAACAAATGGCCACCTCTAAAGAACACACTTGCCCTTCCAAAAAAAGACAGATGGTGAATGCCGTGACTCATCAGTGCTGGGGGGTCCAGGCATTTTTTTTTATTCCTTTCTTTGTTGACCAGGTGAGAATATAGTAGTTACATGAAGATGTTCAACTTTATGGGAGGGTGACACCTCTCACCCCTGAGTTGTTCAAGGGCTGGCTGTAGTCAGTAGTCTCTATGTATTTTAACAATTTAGTAAATTTCAAACGTTTAACAAAATACATAGGATCCTAGGAATCCTACCAGCTTTCCAAGTTGAGGTTGACTGTTGGTTTTTGAAGTCTCAGCACCAACAAATATTTGATTATTACCTAAAATGCGCAAAAGTCAAGGACATACAAACGTCAGTGGATGCAGACAACCCTCAACTGTACCTTCTCATCAGCATCCTGTGGTTAAAGACGTCTGAAGAATTCAGCCAGTTCTAGAGCTCAGCTGAGTGGTGGCTTTGTCCTTCATGCAACAAACTTTTTCTGAAATATTTCTTGAGCCTGTCACTTTTATGAAGGATGTTGGGCTTTAAGGACTGATTCCTGCCCCAACAATAATCTAGTTTGAAGGCAAAACCAGTGTCGTCTTGCCTGTGTCAAAAATACAGAAGAAGAGATGAGAAAAGGAGAGATTTGAGAAGATGGAAGAGGTTACTGGGACACAAACAGATTTAGAAGGCTTCATAGATGAGAAGAGGCTGAGGTAGACCTGGAATGAAGCGGGATTTTCATAGGGGTCAATGATGGGGGGGAAAGGGAGAAGAGGTATGTTTAACAGGCAGAAGTTGTAAGATGAGCTTAAGGCAATGAAGAAAGAAATGAGGTACCCTGGACCTTCTCTGTAGGTTGGAGTTGGGAGGGAAGAAGATTGGAAAGAAGATTATGGTATCTTGACAAACGAGGCTAACTGTGGTAATAGAGAACTAATGTGTCTGAGGGCTTTCATGCAGCATTTTGTTTGTTTTCTTGTTCATTGAACAGTGGGTAGATTTCCATATGGTGACTTAGGAAGCAAGCAGGCTTTTTCCATTTCTTGCAAAGTTCTTGATGTGCCCTTCATTCAGCCTGTTATCCATCCAGAAGAGAGAGAGCATTGTGATTTTTAAAATTTTATTATTTTGAACTTATTGGGGTGATATTGGTTAATAAAATGATATAGGTGTACAATTCTATAATACATCATCTATGTATTGTATGTTCACCCCACGCCAAGTCTTCTTCCATCATCATTTATCTTCCCTTCACCCTCTCCTATCTTTCCTCAACACCCTTTCTCTCTGATTGTATCAAAGACTTTTGTGGTATATTATTTCCATTCACCTCCTGTTGGTTGGAACTGAGTCATATGGCCACACCTAACTGCAAGGGAGTCTGGGAAATATAGTGCCTCTGTGTTGGAAGAAAAAAGAAACAAATGCCAGCGAGTGACTTCTAGCCTGAGTGGGTTGAACTTGACCCTGAATGCGGTGGTAATTCATCCTCTACCTTAGCACGGGGGCGTGCACAGTGGTGATGCAAGCTCCATCAGGAAAGTGATTTATGGATGTTACATTCACTGCTATATCCCCAGCATATGCGAGGCCTCGCCTCCAATATTTGATCAAATAACGAAATGATGGATGGATGCTGGAAAGGAGTCCTGACCATATGGAACCTTCCAGGATCAATTAGGGGAAGAGAGTTGAGGCAGGGACGCCAATTAGAAGGCGATGGACATCATCCGATAGAGCCCGAGTGTGTGCAGGGACCGTGGGGATTCGTACATTTTTAGAAACAGGAATGTTTACTTCTGCTACTTTCACATTTTTAGTTTACAGCACAGCCGCAGCTTATAGTTTAACCAGAGTCCCTGTGGAGCTGAAATCATAGACGCAGCTCATGAGCCAACCGGCCTGGGGCTCTGTGGAGGCATCCCTGGGCAGGCAGCCTGGGGACTGGGACTGTGCCACCAGCTGCAACCCAAACCAAATAAAACTCGACCAAACCAGCAAACCCCCATTGGAGTTCAAGTTACTTTAGGGGACTCTGGGGAGACACACTCCGCAGCTGCATTATGTATGCAAAATGCGCTCTCTGACCTCATTGTAAGGAAAATTACTGGCGTCCACAGAATCTTTTGCCAGCTTTCCAAAGTGTTGGACACGTTCACTCCTGTGCAATTATGCAACATTTAAAAAATGGTAATTTTAAAACATGCCTGAGAAATGGATGCTGATCCAACAGGAACAGAGAGTGTCCCCAAGAAGAATCTGTTCTCTGTGCTCCCGAGAGAAGCCCGCACACAGCTCGCCCCGTGCGGCCAGGGCTCCCACATTTTAGGGAGTTACTTGCAGATAGATTTCTTGGAAATGAAAAGCTCAGGGCAGCCTGCGTCCTCCCTCTCGATCTGACGTTTGTGGCTTATGGATAAGCTGGGGCCGACCTCAGTGTCTGGTCTCTCCTCGGAGTCCGCATCCCTGGAGTCAGGTGAGGGTCCAGCCTTTCGGATTCTGCGGAGTCCAGGGAGGAGCTGCCCCTGGAACAGCCAGGATTCTTAGGAGCTTTTTAGTAATTCTTGCTGATCTGAAAATAATGGAAAAGCAACAGAAGAGCTCTTTGTGGTATTTTTCACATGTTCTTTATTGGTTTGGGGAAATGTCCAACAGTAAAGTGGTTTAAAAATCATAAATATTTAAAAAGACATCATGTGCCCTACTCTTTTCACCCATCCCCACCAAAAAATAAACTATAATAATACAAACGGCAGGAACAGGAAGAGAAGGCAGCAACAACAGGAGACGGCAGTGTGCTGGGAGGGGATGGCTGTGACCCAGGCGGCTATGCGGCTACGCGGAGTCCCTGCAGAAGGTCTGGGGACTGAGGAAATGTGAGGGGGGGTCTTTTCCCCAGCAGGCCCGGGCTCCGGGAGGCCAGTCCCTCCTTTCCCGAGGCCTCTTGAGATATAAGTTATCAGCCTGAGACAACGGGTGCCTGCGGCTCTTAATTTGGTTTCTATCTCAAATCCCAGAGAAGCCAACTGTTGAAAGTTATTCACAAATTTGTTAGCAAATTCATTTTGCACAGGGTAGTTTTCGCATGAGCCTTGCAGAGGTGTTGGATGTAAGTTGACTGAAAAGCTGGTGTTTCATCTTGTTTTTCCCCAGTCCCGGCTTTCTGAAGATTCACTTACAAGTTTGAAAAACAGGTGCCTCTCTGAGGGCGAGAGAAGGGAGTGGGCATAGTGTATGTGCGCCTTCTAGGAGGAAGGAATGGGCGTCAGCAGTCACAGAGGCTGGAGGATTGAGAATGGGGGGCAGGGACAGTATCTGAAGGCTCTAGACTTCTCCCCAGAATCTCTGCCAGCCTTCTCAGTGTCATATACCTTCTACCAAGGTAATTGACAGGTTGGGTTAGCTTGGTAAATTCAGTGCAATTGTTCGTCTGACTACTGACTTACAGTGCACCCGTTCTGAGAAGATTGGCTGCCTCCCCTGATCCCAACCCCACTGAGCCATCCCAGCAACACCTGTAAGCTGTGGCAGGCAGGGGAGCCTTCCTGGAGGAAGATGTGCAGGGCTACAGAGCGATGGGATCTGGAAGAGGGGGTTACTTGGCTTGCTTGGGGTGGGGGAGCGAGGCCAACTCATCCTGGTTTGCCTGGCAGTTTCCCAGTTTTAGTCCCGAAAGCCCCAAATCTCAGGCACCGAGACATTGCTGGTCCTCAGGAGGACAGATAGAGGCCTGGCCAGGGTGAGAGTGATGCCCTTACCGCCTCTCGGAGGGCAGGCTTTTTGCTGGTGCAGTTCCTGTGGTCTACAGGGAAGGGAGGAGGAGGCTTGGGAGAAGTTACTCGGGTCCCAACAGTCACCTGGGACTTAATATCAGGGAAGGCCCTGGTTTGGTCCAGAAACCTTGGTCATCGGATCTGCATTCACTGACTGTGCTAAATGTGCTTCTCTCTCTTCCTCAGGGCGGCAGGACACAGTGTGTGCGTGAGGTCTGTCCCATCCTCTCCTGTCCTCAGCACCTTAGCCACGTTCCCCCAGGACAGTGCTGCCCCAAATGTTTGGGTGAGTGACAGTTCTAAGGTCAAAGAACATTGTAATATATTTTCACTGGTTTCCACTGAGCGTGTTCATCCTCATGGCTGTGCTGGGTCCTCAAGGTGTCCTGTCTTCATGGCAACCTCTCTAATTAAAGGAGCAGCAGGTGGACACGAGGTGCAGGGTGGGGGAAGGTGTCTCTTTTCCGAGGCCTCCTCGGAGGTTTCTTCTCTCTTGGCCTCCCTGCATCTGTGACCTGGTGCACCAGACAGCCTGGGGCAATGCCCTCTTGTGGGAGAACAGTATTGAACACCCTAATCTATAACCGGGCATATGATGAGTCGGAATACATCCTAAAGGCATGTGAAGTAAACAGGAATACAGACTCCTGGTACTTTCAGAGGGAAAAAATAACATGCCAAAACAAGAGGCTTAGAAGGGAAGCACGGGTTATAACCAAAAATGAAGCACTAGCTCGCTCTCATTGCACATTTCCTATGTATGAGGCACCAGGAGAAATAGCTTATATGCTTCTTCCATGTAATCTTCAGAATCTCCTGTGCACCTGAAACCTGTGTAATTTTGTTAACCAGGCCACCTCAATAGATTCCATAAAAAAGAATCTTAAGAAGCTGTGCTATGGAGGTGCCAAATACAAGACATCATTCGAGTGTGTGCTCTAGGTGCGACGGTTAGTTTTATTGTCCCAAGAGGGAAGGTTTCTGGAAGGTGGAACAGCCAGGGGGTGATGGATTGGCACCTGAACACGATTCTCTGTGATGCCTAAGCTTATGCTTGAAGCTGCTGCAGCCCGACTGTCCTGGTGGCACGGAGGCAGCACGCACGTCGCCACCCGGAAGGAGACAGTCCATGATAGAGGCTCTAGAGCAGCGGTTCTCAACCTGTGGGTCGCCAACCTGTGGGTTGCAACCCCTTTGGGGGTCGAACGACCCTTTCACAGGGGTCGCCTAAGACCATCAGAAAACACATATATAATTACATATTGTTTTTGTGATTAATCACTATGCTTTAATTATGTTCAATTTGTAACAGTGAAAATACATCCTGCATATTAGATATTTACATGACGATTCATAACTAGCAAAATTACAGTTATGAAGTAGCAACGAAAATAATTTTATGGTTGGGGTCACCACACCATGAGGAACCGTATTAAAGGGCCGCAGCATCAGGAAGGTTGAGAACCACTGCTCTAGAGCATGAGGTGGTTTGGCGGTCGTTTGTCGTCCACATGCCAGCTTCCTCCATATGATCCTTAGTCTCTTGAGTTAGAGGTCAGACTATTTAAGATTCAAATTAAAGTCTATGTCTTAGTCCCCTTGGTTCACTGCACGGATATTTAATAAAGGTTTGTTGAACTTATAGCGAGCAATCAAACTCTTTGTAAGAAAAACTCTCTAAATTAATGACTCCTGGGGATCCCCTGGGAGCATCTGACCCATGGCTCTGTTTTTGGGCATCGGCTGGACCTGGGCTTGTGAGAGTGTTGAACTGCCTGAGCTGTAATTGCTGATAACAAGGGGGGCATCCTTGGCTTCTGCCTTGCTTACACTCTGCCGTTGCTTCCCTCTAGGTCAGAGGAAAGTGTTTGACCTCCCGTTTGGAAGCTGCCTCTTCCGCAGTGATGTGTATGACAACGGATCCTCGTTTCTGTACGACGACTGCACGGCGTGCACCTGCCGGGTACGGTGGTTCCGAGGGGCTGCCGTCCGACAACAGAGCATCTTGGGCTTTAGTGTTAACATTGTGGCCACACACGATGTGTCATTTCTCAGAGGGAGGTATTATTGGTGCCAGTTTAGGGTGAAATCACACTTCAGGTCACAAGGACCCAAATTACAATTCACTGTCATATTCCCGAGAATAGCAAGTTAGTGTTTGGTGGTGATAACTAAACTCTGAGGGGCTGTCTGCAGCACTTGCTAACCTCAGACAAATGCATGCGGCAGTGTTCTCTGGAGCTGCTTATCCACGGTGGAACCTCTGGCCTTACATCCGAGAGAAAAGAGCAGCATGGATTTTCAGTGCAGCCATCACAAGGTCAACCTGGGAGTTTGGGAAGAGAGTGTTTATGTTTTGTTCACTGTGTCATTCCTCATTTGAGGCATCACTCACTTTTCTCAAAAGGCAGCCAGAAGGGTAATGACTGGTAAAGAAAGAATTCTACCACTCCCCAGTTTTAAAGGGATACACATTCCACATTTCTAGACTGGGCTTATGTGGCGATTTATTTTTGGAACCAAGAAGAGAATCATTTATATGGAGGACTTTAGGATCATTCATTAGTGAGTTAACCCACACATCTGTGTAGCCGGAGTGTGGTGCTGTTGGCAGTGGTTTTGTTTTTAATAGCTAAAGGGCAAGAGAGGGCCAGAGAGGAGGTTTGCTCAATACCAGCTCTGAGTCAGTAGCCATGATGAGGGTTCAGAAGGTCCTGATTCCTCGTGGCAGGCTTTGTGACGTAGCAGTAGCAGCACTGCTGCAGGGAGGTGGCTGAGTAAGGGCTGCCTTGTGTGCTCCCTGGCACTGAGCACCGAGCCATTCCTAAGCCTGAGGTACTTTCCCGAGGCTCCCTCCTCTCTTCGTGGCTTGTATTAGCCTGTGGTAAACAGACGGCCACTCCTGCTGTTGGCCTGACCTCCATCCTCAGGACTTCTCTTCCTCTCCAGGAATTTCACAGGTTATAGCTTCCTCTTGGGCAGTGGTTCTCAAGCTGTGGGTCGCGACCCCTTTGGCGGTTGAACGACCCTTTCACAGGGTCGCCTAAGACCATCCTGCATATCAGATATTTACATGACGATTCAAAACAGTAGCAACATGACAGTTATGAAGTAGCAACGAAAATAATTTTATGGTTGGGTCACAACATGAGGAACTGTATTTAAAGGGCCAGAAGGTTGAGAACCACTGCTCTTGGGGATACTGAGCTTTTGATAAAACCCATGTCATTCCCAATTCCCTTGATTGCAGGAAAGCCAGACATCCCCTGAATGGGAGTTAGTTCTGCTCACAGTGCTTTGGGTCTCATGGATTCCATGAGAGATGACTAAGAAATATGTCCCAGGACTCAAAAGAAGTGCCACCAACACTGTTCCTTCAAGAGGTGGTTTTATCATGGTTCACAGTCATCTTTGGGAAAGTGAATGTCTGAATAAGCAGGCTGCAATTATTTAGGATAGTCAGTATGGTTTTCTCTTCGCTTAGAGCAGCGGTCGGGAACATCCGAACCGTGAGATGTGTAAGGCCCGCGAAATCATTTGGTCTGGCCCTGCCAAGGCATTAGGGGTGAATTAATTGAATGTTTGACCAAATATAGCTGACTAATTTTTAACTTCATAATTTTGTATGGCCCGAGAATGATGTTATCAATATCTAAATGGCCCTTGGCAGGACAAAGTTTCCTCACCCCCGATATAAAGGATATCAAATGGCATTTTTTGAAGGATCACTTTAGTGTCATATTAATCTTGTATACTTAATCCGTGAAACTACAGTAGATGGTACCAGAAGTACCTCTTGAAGTTATATAATTAGCACAGAATCTACGGACATTACGTAGGTTTATACAACCTGCAGGTATATAATGCTCAGAAATGCGTCCTGGCTCTAAGCTTACCAGTGGGGTCTGTGTCCTGGAGGGGGTTTCATCTCATTTCTCTGCCGTTGTTCGTTCTCACTTTACTCAACACTCTGAGGGGATTGCTGATCTACCTGGGACACTTCTCTTCTCCATCCCTGTCTTCCTCTAAATTTCATGGATGTTTGGCTCTTCCCGTTCTTCCAGCCATTGACCTGCTCCAGGTGGAGCTGTGTCTTGTTGGCTGGGGAACTAGGGAGGCTTCCTTTTCTTAAGCTGCTCTGAACCTCTCTTCCGTGTGTGGTTGAATGAATCAGTAGACTCAGTTCACTAAGCCATTTAATTCATGGAATACCACATCTTAAGAAACCAGGCCACGCCCCTTAAAGTTACCGATATCAGCTTGGCACCCTCAGAGGTTCGGTGGCCTGGTGAAGGTCGCGCAGTTTACGGAAGAGCTCTGGAACCCAAGTCCAGTTGTGGAATTGCTCCTTCCATTCCTATTCGAACACAGAAGACACTAATAGATTTCATTTTGAAGTGGAACATTTACTGTTTATTTTGCTCTTTGATCAGAGCTATCCCGCCTTTATGCTGAATTCCTAGAAGGTGGCACAAAGCCAGGCAGGATCCCCAGAGGGCACTGTGAGTGAAGAAGGAAAGGGGAACAGGACAGGAACTGACTGGCCCATCGTGAACTGGGCCTTCTTGCCCCACGGTGACCGAAGCAGAACTGTTAGTCCCTTGAGCATTAAATTATAAACCTTCTGAAGGTAGGGACACTTTTCATAGTCCAGATATTTAATCAACAAACAGTATTTTGAAGTGGATGAAAGACCGATTGCAGTCAATTAAAATTCGGAATCTTCAGACTGTGTTTGAAAGCAGTGAGTCGTGGGTAGTTAACGCCAGGCCAGGGAGGATGTTTGGTGCGGGTGGGAATCGTTTTAATCTCCAGCTTGCCTCTGGGCCCCCAGGACTCCACTGTGGTGTGTAAGAAGAAGTGCTCCCGGGCCGGCGGCTGCGACAAGGGCGAGGAGGCCTGCTGTGAGGAGTGCCTCCTGCACGTGCCCCCGGAAGACACCAAAGTGTGCAAGTTTGGCAACAAGGTTTTTCGGGTACGTCATGAGCCAGGCTCATGGAAATGACTGTATACACGGAATTGTAAAAAGCTCCAGACAATATGCGCATTGGGGTCTTCCATATTGTGTGTGGGTATGTGTGTGTATATACATGTACATGTTTGTGTGTTTATCTATAACTGCACTTACTTATAGTATAATATTTATATGTGTCTATATTTAGAATCCAGTACACACACAGACAGAGAAGCAAGTGTTTGAAAAGTTTTTCTTGGTCAAATTTTTCTTTGAAAATGCTTTGCTTTTTAATATATTTTTGCTTTATAAGATAGTTTAAACTTATAAAAGCATCATTGCCTTTTCCCAATGTGGTCAGCCCATGGCTGGGGTTGAGCTGAAACTGCCCCCTGGTGGTGCTGTTATGGGGCCTTGAATGCCCGGGACCATCTTGGCCAGAGCGGCTCAGCGCCCCTCGCCCGGGTCCTGATGGTCTGCAGCTTGATATGTTCAGGACGTTTTTATGATGCTGCTTTTCAAAGAGAGATTTTCTCCTTCGGGAGATGGTCAGGTGAGGATGCCCATGGTGCACGTGGCCAGCACCGCAGTGAGCAGAGGTGAGAAAGCGCTGCCCCGGCTGAGCCAGCAGGCTGTTTGCTGGCCACGTGCTCCCCATCGCAGGTATTTTACACTGTCTCCTGACGGCCGAGTAGCAAGCTGTGCAGTGGCCAGTTACTTAATTTATTTATTTTTAATCCTCCCCAAGGGTATGCTTACTGGTGTGTGTGTGTGAGTGTGTGTGTGTGTGTGTGTGTGTGTGTGAGAGAGAGACGTAG